TGCTGAACATTTTACAAGCGTCTTTTATGCAACAGAATATCCAGTAATGCAAATGCAGCAATGCTTTGTGCATTTAGCTCAGTCAGTAGAGCGTGGTGCTGGTAACACCAAGGTCGCGGGTTCGATCCCCGTTCGGTGCCCATGTGTTGCCTGATCTAGTTGAGAGGCGTCCCTGCCCATGACAGGGAGGTTGGATCAAACGATCCCTAAGGTCCCTTCCAGCCTAGGCCATTCTATGATTCTGTGATTTCTGATCGATGAAGGCAACGGCCACCCCGCAAAGTTCAATTAAAGGGTTAAACATTGTTTTGCACAGAAATAATTAGCTAGTATTAACTAGTATGCTTTGAGACACACAAGACTCCTCTTTCTTTTCAAAAGTACTCGCAAAACAACGTTCTTCGATACCCAGCCTTTTCGTAAAGCGTGTAAGCTCTGGGGTGAACTCCCCTGGCATTCCTCAAGCTTTCAGCGGCAATCCAAGTTCGATGCAGCACAGGTGGGGATGACGTACTCACAACCTTGCCTTTTACCTCACAGGTATTTGAAAAATAAAAATTAAAGAACTACAATCTACATCTTGAATCAGTTCTCCCTTTATTTCGTCTGAGTTTTCGATTTGATTTGCCAGCATACAGTTACTTGAGTCTTTCTGTGCCTCAAATTCTGGCAAAGTAAGATTTTTTTCACCACCTTCTTAGAAATACCCAATATTTCAACACTCGTTAAAAAGGAGTGTCGATACACAAAAGATCTTCCAAGGAAAAAATCTAAGAATTTCTGCATTTAAAATATTTGGGCCCAATTTAAAATATTTATTGCTAACAAGAAAAGCTGATTAATTGCATTTTATTCCTTAAGTAAATAAAGAATGTGTTCATAACCTTGTTGTAGGGGGGAGAAGGGAGCTGCATTGTCAGCAATAGCGAGTCTCCATTTAGCATCAAACCCTATTATTAGAAGACTTTATTTCTAGTGTATTAAACGCTCTATTATTAGGAACTCTGATAATTATAGATACAAAAATACAAAGGCAAAAAAAGGTCTTGCTATATTAATTTCTGTACCCAACTCCCCTGCGTGAAGCTACTTTGTTGCCTTTCAGATCACTACATACTGCTGGCATTGTTTGTATGATGATACTGATGTAAGTCCTGGAGAATGTTTGCTCATTTAATTCTGGCAATTCTGTTGACAACAGCAAGTACAGCAAAAGCGTGACCAGACACACACCCAGTAAATCTTAAGAAATTTTGAAGGAGAAGGGTAAAAAGCTTCTTTAGCTCCAAAAGCTCCCTCGCAGGCCTTTGAGATTTACCACCATCAGAGAACGTGCTCCAAAAGCAGCTGCATGAATTATTACGTCAAAGCAAAGGTAAGGCAACTAAATACAGAGAATTTCTCCTATTACAGAGCAAATTAGTACTACTACTGAGCAAATTAGTAGGAGGGCAATACTACAGACCTTTTTTTTTTTTTAAAAGTATTTCTTATAAAAGCAGCAAATATTTCACTAGGCACTACTCATACCTTAAGAGATCAGATAACGTCATTGGTTCTCTCAACCAGAGTAACGCCATGTAACAAAACGAAAGGGTCATTGGCATCGTCATCCTCAGTTTCTCCTTTTGGTTCTTCATTAAATACAAGCTACCATCTACCGATCCAGAGCACACAGAGGTGCTTGCTTGGGTTTATGTTGAAAACAGAAAAGAAAAAAAGTTATTGATACGATATACACACGATCCATGGTATACAGAAAACCAGACAAAGGAACATAAAAGGACCCTTGTTCAGCAACTAGTAACATTTTGAAATCATTACCTTGAGTAGTTTGGTAGTTTGTGTACTTTTCTGCTAAACAGCTTAACTCTGACTTATTCACCTACCGTGAAACGGCACAACAACCTCCTTCATAAACTGCTTCTTCATTGGACTAAGCCACTGGATCATATGAAGAGACAGAACTCCTTCTGTTACCCATCAAAACAGATCTTTTGTTGGGAACTACACTTAAACCTGGGGTTGTAGAAGGACATTAACTCCTATGCAACGTATAATTAATAGCACTTCTGAGCTGGAAATAACATTTTCCATTTGAGAGACAAGGGAACAGTGGGGAAGCAAAGGAAAATTTTATGTACTTGAAATCAATGCCTCAGAGTTGGGGATTAAAACACAGAGTTTTAAACTTCAGCACAGTCAGGAATTTAACAAGAAAATTATTTACATTGCAGAAATTTTGCTGAGGTTAAGGTGTGTATCCATCTGCTGCATAATCTCTAACTGTGGATACAAAGGTATTCTTTTAAAAAATGCATCTAAATTCCATGAAAAAGAAGCATCTTTAGAACAAAACCGTAGCACATGGTGAAGAGGGTGAAAAAAACCAAAAACCCAAACAACCAAACCTCCCTACTTCCTTATTGAGATGAATCCCTAAAAACTAAGAGAAGCAGCAATAAGGGATTTAATTTAGTAGAGTGATTTATGAGTTAGGAACCTTCTCAGCAGTGAAACTTAGGAGTTAGGTAAGGAGGAAGGAAAAAAAAAAGAAAGAAGAAAAGCCTCTTTCCCACATCATGACCCAGCCTGGACTAATGAAAATGCATTTAAAGCACACCAGTGCAAACTATCAGCACTGATTCCCCTGAAATTTTCTCCCTGTGTTTCCCAACAGACCATTCACACGTTCAGACAGGCACGGCGAGGGCTGGATCCCCAGCTCCCCAGCTGGGAGCTGCAGGGCTGAAAAAAAAAAAAAAAAAAAGTTTAAAACTTGGGAGAGCTTGGCAGCTCCGTGGTTCTTCTGGCAGGTGACAGCCAAGCCTGTAAGGTGACAGCGGCAGAGGCACCGGCACACAGTGGGAAGCCTCCAAAGCCTCTGGTCCTGAGCCAGAACCGGTCTTTGATGCCACCTACCGGCTCCTCAAGCGGCGGCCAGCACCACTACGGACCCAGCTCAAAAAAAGCACCGGCTCAAGCACACCCCTGGGACAGAGCAGGACGAGGTCTAGAGCATCCCAGGAGGTCTCTCGCGTTTGGGTGCGGCAGAGCACAAAAGCAGGAGCATTAGTTGTTTCACCTTTGACACGGATCCTTGTGCTTAAAGACAGCTTCACAACTGAAGCTTTCCTATTAACTTCACATTCAACTCAGTTTAAAATAATCCTCATTATATTTGTGGCCTGAATGATGGCACACAATTTCCTTTTATTTCTTCCAGCTTATGCAAGGCATGACAACACAGTTATGCACGTCTAATAACTTAAGAGTTTAATAGGCTTCTCTAGCAATATTCTCAGCGCTATACCCGGTGGAATCTGCTATTAACCCTACACAAAAGTAACAAAAAAAAGTGCTTGCCAGTTGGAAAAGCCTCTTAGGAAAAAAGGGTGTTGAGCTTTCCAGCCTGTAGCGATAACAGCTCAGTACAAACAGCACAGAAAAAGAACCCGATGAATCTTCATGAGAGTTTATAATTGACTGGAACACATTTAGTATTGCTTGTGTTAAAACTCAATATACACAACTATTTCTACATTTGAGTTCACCAAAATATAACTTTAGTGTTGCTGAACTCTTAATTAATTTCAAGAGCTTTTAGTGAAGTCGGCATGACTACTTAAAGCTGAATTCAATCTCTGAAATGACAGACTAAGACGACATTAAGTTATGTCCTCTTTTAAGACTAAATAGTTGTTCTAAAACCCTAAGAAACATTACAAAGTACCAAGGAAGAGAGGATTTCCTCTAGACATTGAAAAGGGGAAGAAAATTCAATGGACTATTTTCACTAGAAACTTCTCACTCTATTCTTCTTCATGTAATAGGTATTTGTGTAACATCCAAGATTTGCGACATGCACAAACATACAGTGACTCTTTACCTGAAAATTTTGTCATTTTAATATGTAAGAGTGAAAGGTTCTCGCACTATAGTCATAAAAATTTGTGTCGCTATTTCTGCATCTTTTTCTCCCCTCTCTAATTCTGTCTGGATTTTTTAGAAGTTCTTAATTTTTTTAATTAGAAGAATTTTTAAATTAAGATTTTTTTTTAAAAAAAATCATTATTTAAATTGCTGTAGATCAAGTTTCTCATTCTTTTACCATTTCTGGGCTTTCCAACCTAAAGAGAAAAAACGTGAAAGAACAAGGTTGCATTCTTCTGAGGGCAGATGAGTAAGAACAGACGCAGGACATAAGGAGGATAGTACAGTACATAACAGGGGAAAAAGAAACAGTGAAACAGACCAAGAAGGAAAAAGCAAGCAAAGAACAAAGCAAAAAAAAAAAAAGGTTTAAAACACAAGCAAAAGCTTTCAAACGTGCCTTGAAACGTATTTCCAGTATCAAACGTTGTAGCATTGTCTGGCATTTTACTTTGCCAGTAGCACCAAACACTCCAATTTTCCATAACATTTTAATTAAAATATTTAGCATTGTGTGAATATTTTCAAGTTGATATTGTGAACACCAAGGAGAAACTGATGAAATGCTAGAAGATGATTTTTGTAGAAGGGTTTATAGGGAAAGTAGTAAAAAGAATGCAGAGACAAAAGATATAGAAGTATTAAAAATACTGCAAGGAAAAAAAATTGAAAGCTAAATATATCCATGGGATAGAAAAAAAATAATACTGCCCCCCTCAAAGAACAAATTCATAGTTTTTAACATCAAAGCCACAACCGATAGCTCTGCTAGCAGCTAAACAAGTGCTTTTTCTTTAAAGCTGATGTGTCTGTGAACATCTGGGTTTGCAGATAAAACAGCAATTTTTCCCACTCCAAACAGGAGGCATGGAGCAAACTCATAAAATGGAACTTCCTTTTGTATCTCCCATCATATTTCCCAGTCCTGTTTAACTCTCATCAAATTGGGTGTGGGTTTTTTTGGGGAGAAGTCCTCTACTTCTGGTAGAATATAAAGTACCCTGGGGCAAACAGGACCGAGAACTTCACATTTTCTAACCGATTCCTCTAATTTGTTGTATGTGAATATGCTTTCTATATATTTATTTATATCCCAAACCTATACACAAACAGTTTCCAGGTAGTTCAGTTCACTGCTCCTACCTGAGACTTTACTAGCTGATGAGGCAAAGCTGCAATCGGTCTGTAGGTCCCCCTCACTTTCAGAAGGAGACAGCAAGTGAAGAAGGCTTGGTTCACTGTCCACATCAGTACTGCTGTCGTGTACCTGGGGTTTGTAAATTAGTCGCCATTAGTTCCTGTTTCAGACTGAAGAAACCAAATAAAGAGATGCAAGACCAACGGTAAATGAAGTTTACAGCCAAACTGTTCACATTTTTACTCACTCTATGAATTGCCAGTACAAAAAGAAATCCTGTGAAAAAAAGTATTTTTCAAGGATTTCTCAAGGTCAAAGACATCTAGTGATGACATTAAATTTCAATCTGCTACACTGACCAGAAGGTTGGTCATACAGAGAGTCAAAACTTGATGAAATAAGTAATCTCAAGAGAGCAGGCAGGGAAAGGATGGTAGCTGATGAGGCATTTTGTACTGTAATTTCTGCTCCAGCTACTGATTGTCTGTGCAAAGACAAAGCAATATATTTAAATAACCAGCTTTCCATACTAGAATTATTTGTCTCTCAAAACATGAGAAAAAACTCAAATCCAACGATGACAATAACATGGACATGTGGAACCCTGTTTAGAAGACATCCTTCATACTGAAGTGACAGTAACGCAGGCTAGATACGTAGCTTGAACAAAGAAGGTTTGTTCTGTTGCTGAATTTTAAAAAAGATACCAAACATCTCATGGGATTTGAGCTTTTCACTTACTGATAATACTCTGATAGTTTCCCCAGCTGGTCTGTTGCAATATGCCTGTTTGCTCTTCTGAAGGTAACACCTCCAAAAATTGCACAAAACATCATCCTGATAAATGCAAACGGATAGTGATTAGCACAAAGCCTACAAGCTTGTTAATTGCTGAGAGAATAGAGCACAATTTCTAACTCAGGAATCTGAGTTAGAACTTTGTCAACTGTGATTTATAAACTACACCTTAAAATTACCAGAGAAGCCAAGTTTGTTTTCATACGCTCAATGTTTTTAAACAGACAGCTGTTAGATTCCCTTTCAAAATTACAATATCTTAAAAGATTATTTAAAAATAACACCTCCTGTAATACACACACAGTGCGTACAACTCACACTGGTATCCACATACCTTCATTTGCGGACATACTCCTAACGCTTCTAAAGCTTCAGCTTGTTTCTTGAGTACAAACTGAAAGCCTTCACAAACGTACCATTCACAGCCTCTATCTAAATAGAAAAAAAAAAAGTATGTTTTTTTTAGCTTCTTTGTACTGTTTTGTATCCTTTTTAACCTTACGCATACTCATTTCCACTTAGTATTCTGCTCTCTTGGTATCAGGACAGAGACACGTCTCTCTATTTAATAATTTCAGATCCTAGAGCACAGACCAGCCACACTGAATACTGCCTTACCTTTCACAAATTCACACATAAATTCACATAAAGTCTTAATCAAGAAGAAACACTACTGAACAAGCACTGTTCTCCACGTATTTCCCAAGAATAATACATTTTAGTATAACTTCTAGTGTGGCATTTGTAATCGAGTGTTAAGTGACCAGTTTTAGAATAACTCAGAACCTATCATTAAAAAATGAAATACAATTGTTTGTTTCCCATCCCCAGCACAGAAAACTGAAACACATTACAGTGGTGAGTCACAAAAAAAACCAACCAATATCGCCACGTCCTACACTATTCTCTCCCACAGAATCAAACACATTTGAATGAAAGAAATTTCCTCAGGTATTCTGAGCTTCCAGCAAATCTCAGCACAACGTGAATTTCACAAGGAGTGGGCCTGGTCTAATCTTTTCACTGTTCCTTCAGACTGCATTACGTCTACTTTTCAACCTTACCTGCCTATATTTACAACTGCTTTTCTACAGGCTTTTGGTTTTAGAAATTTTCTCTGTATTTCTCAACTTCCTTTTCACTCCCTGCACACCTGTTCTTCATTACTTTTCCTTCCAACCGCACCTTGTATCTCACCATCTTAGAATCTATCTGCCCAAAGCTTCAGTCCTGCTTTAATGATGTTGGCTTTAACTGTTAACCACAGATACAGCTTACTCCTACTATAAATGCATGAAAAAAAGCTACCATTGTATAATGTAACTGCTCACAGAAAGGACTGTGTGAAACTAAGGTCTTCCTTCTTGAGAAACTGGGCTAATGTCCTTCCTAACAGGAGAAATGAAAAGCCTGAAGTGGTACACAGCTCTGACTTCAGAAGCAATACAGGATAAACACAAGCAGAAGTGTTGAGATTGTTACCCTTTTCACTTCCACACAATTGTTCTTTTCCAAGGAAGGCAGTCATCCGCTGCTACTACAGCGAAGACAGGTCAGTGTATCAAAGGCAAAGAATACCCCATGCTTCGTTTAGCACTGTAATGCATTTTTGCTTTCTGAGTGCCCACAACACTAAAACATCTATCCAGCCATCACACAGGCAGAGCTCCAGCAGCACCCTTACCATAACATCCTTACACACATATCCCCACACGTAATGACTACTAGTCTTCTGAATCGCGAAATTACGAGCTTAAAAACGACTCTGGATGAAGTATGCAACACTGGTTTAGCTATTTTAAGTGCATGAAGTCTCTTCCACGTAGGTTTGTGTGGAGGTTACAGGGCTGAGTACCTGTAGTGCAAGCCAGACTGACGTTCTAAGAGCTGGACCACTGTCACATCTCACTTATGAAGACAGACAACTTCTCTGGTTTTGTGATAGCCATCACAAGGAAGGAATACACCTCATCTGAATGTATGCCACCAGTATGTTCTGTGAGTATTGGTTTCCACAAATCTAAGTGACATTAAGTAATATACAGCTCTGTTCAATCAAAAAAAGAAAACAAACCACCACCAGGCTCACAGAAGTCACCTGTGGCTCAGGAAGTCACCCAAAGTGACAGCTGAAGGTCGTGACAGCATCTGGGGAGTGTATTTTGTTCATGTTCTTACAGTCTTTCCTAGTTATCTGCTTCTGATCACTAAAACTGTAATGTGCTAGATGAATGCTGGCTGAATAGCCACTCTTATGCAAAATATAGAGAGACACTTATACATACCATTTTTTTCCTGCTTTCTTAAACCTTTGGAGATTGTCTGGACTCTTGCATTAGAAATAAAATCAGTGTTCACAACTTCTCTAGTTCTCTGCAAAACAGGAATATACCTCAGCAAGGAAAAAAGCCAGACCTAATTTGCATAGACTGCCCCATCGCAAGCATAATGGTGGTATTTTTTCAAATTTCCTGAATGACAAGGAAACAAAATATTTTGAACTTTTCACTCAGAAACTGCAAAAATAGAGAATTACTATTCTGGACATATGGGTGACAGGCATCAGGGTTTGCCTAGACTGGTATTGCACAGAAGTGCAGCAATACCCAGGCAATCCTTCTGAGGCATCCAGACAGCACGCCAGCACTACAGCAACGCAGCATTTTAAGATGGCTCATTTAAAATTTTGTGATTTCAAGGAACATCAGTTTTAAGCAGTGTCAAGTAAACATGAAAAAGGAAGAATCACAACACCACCTTATACCAAGGAGTAAAACATAACATCAACGTAAACCCAAGAAGCAATCAAAATAAACCTTTTCCAAGGCCAGTAGCTTAGCTTTTTACCTCAGTAACATTGTGGCAAGATCTGCAATAGAATCTGCCTCCGTCAGTGAGACCCCAGTTCACTTCTGAACACTGGGCACAGCGTTCATTAAAATCTCTCTAAAAGGAAAAAAAATAAGTCTCACACATGTAAAATAAATGCCACGATTACTAGGCTACTGCACAGCTTTTGAAATGATTCATAGAAGAGAATATTTATGCCCCTTGTGTTAGCTCTGGTTGATAAGGAGCAATCGCAGCATTCGCTACCACCCGTAGCCAGGTGTGAACACATCATTTGAGCTGCCAAGCGTGTATGTGAACATTAGTGAGGAGAATAATAACCCACGCGTGGCACGGCTGGAAAAATAAACCACCCAAAGGAAACGGAAGCAGAGGCAAAAATAAGAGAGCCCGAGACAAAAGGAAAAACTAAATTTGTGGAACTCTGGAGAATCGTTACGTATCGGAGGAAAGCCTGCAACAAGTCGGGGAAGAGATGTGCCGGGAGACAGGGAGATTTCCCAGAGAAACCAGAAAGAGAAAACTACAAGTTAAAATAATGAGCTTATAAAAATACGGGCGTGCTGGGGCCGGGCAGCCCCCCTCGGGCCCGTGCT